CAGGTAATTTGATCATTTTTAACTTATTTTCCATCTTAGGCGCAATCTGGATATTGAAAGACCAACATACAACAACCTGAATCGTTTGATCAATCAGGTTGTGAGCTCTCTAACTGCATCATTACGATTTGACGGTGCTCTTAATGTCGATATTACAGAGTTTCAAACAAACTTGGTGCCATATCCTCGTATCCATTTTCCAGCGATCTCCTATGCACCAATACTCTCAGCTGACAAAGCATTCCATGAGCAGTTGACGGTTAATGAAATCACCAGTGCCTGTTTCGAACCTGACAATTTCATGATTAAGTGTGATCCTCGTCGTGGCAAATACATGGCCTGTACTCTGATGTACCGTGGTGATGTGATCCCAAAAGATGTCAATGTTGCAGTGGGTAAGATAAAGACGAAACGAACTATACAATTCGTGGACTGGTGTCCAACAGGTTTCAAGTGTGGTATCAACTCGCAACCTCCAAGTGTGATTCCAGGAGGAGATTTAGCTGAAGTTGTGCGTGCAGTTTGCAACATCAGCAACACCACCGCCATAGCCGAGGCGTGGGCTCGTTTGAATCACAAATTTGATTTGATGTTTGCCAAACGAGCCTTCGTGCACTGGTATGTGGGTGAGGGTATGGAGGAAGCTGAATTCTTTGAAGCTCGTGAAGATCTCGCGGCATTAGAGCAGGATTACGAAGAAGTTGGTCAGGACACTGTTGACGCTGGAGACACTGAAAGTGACGAATTCTAGAATTCATTGCTGCGACGACTTTTAACCATCAATGCTCATTTGGTACAAGACATTTGTATTCAATGTCTTCTTTTCCCTATTTTATTTGCTGTTTAGCTTCTAAATGCCATATAGTAAAGACAAAGTGCAATTTTTCGTGGTGGGTAAATTTCCAATTTTGTGATTCAAATGCATTTTGCACTTATGGGAGTACTAATCTCGCCACAAAAGTTCCTTTTCAAGTTAGACTTTGACCGGCAGTATCTAATTAGGTAGTAAGTATGGGAAGAAGAGAGCAAGGAATTGAAAGGATAAAGGACAATCATCCGTACTTCGGCGAGTCGAATCCGGTTTGTGAGCAAGTAATAAAAGTCCTAGTCTAAAAGTTGTGACGTCTTCTTTTTTCAAGATTTGTTTGTCCTTCATCTGAACGAGGCTCGGCGACTATCTCGGTAGATCTCAATTTTTCACTGATTAGCCATGATTCACTGGTCATATAAGCACTATGTTCTCCCAAAGGCTCGTCAATCTTCCTTAATTCAGTCATTCAGACGTAAGCTGAGCCTCAAAATCTGCCTATCAGCTTTGAGAGTATGCTTATACCACTACTCCATAGACCTAGGGTGCACAATAGACTTACCTCCACGTAGTGCGTCTTGGACAACGTATTCTCATACGGCAAAAAGTCTATAAACTGACAGTTGACTTCTGGCTTCAGACTACCATGACCCCACTGTATGCCATGTTTGAACCCTTTCACAGTACTCATCTTACCTTTTCTCTGCCTTTGTGTCTGTTCCTCTCTTTTATATTTTCAAATCACTCTTCTGTTCCACCGCCCTCTCAACTTTTTCTCACTTTGATGTTTCTCCCCTCTGTGAGGTCCGAAGTCAGCTAAGTGGCTCATGATAAGTATCATAAAGCCCGCCATTTCAAATAAATAAGTAAATACTCCATAGACCTTACAGATTAGTCAAACGCAGTATTTTCACCCATATCTTAAGTGATCTACGAACATTAGACTTCATTAATGTGTAAATCGACAGTACTTTGGTCAAGCATTCGAATGTCATCCTATTGCCTGATCAATTGACATTCATTAACGGAAAGCATATCTTGATCAATCCTACTTTTTCGCTAGAGGTGACCTCATTTAACTATTGGGAACTGACACATCAAGTTTTCATTTCCTTTTCTACGATAAATGTTCCCTTATAAGTGTTTCTATAAATTATAAAGGGAGACTGCTTCCATCTTTATCTATTCATGTTAAATCAGTGGAATAATCTCCCAAAGGTCAATGGAGACTTGAAGCAAATGAACACTCAAGTTTCCTTTCTGGCTGGTAACTGGTAGTGGTGTGTTGTTACTATCGGAACTACCCTAGAATCCCGTAAAATTGCAATTTTCATGTGTGCTTATTGAATAAAAGGGATCATACTTGCTATAGCTACTTTAATAACTGGATGGTACAAAGCAAATTCTCTTTGTTGCACAATGGAAGTCTTATTCCATTCATGGCGCTTCTTAGACTTCAAAAAGCATGCTAAAGAGAAGGAAGGGTCCCAGCTGAGTCATGTCCAATTCTCATGACTCACTTGCTTCGAGGAGAAAGAATGGGACTCATCAATGCTCCATTGTCAGATGGAGGCATCACGTAAATGTCCGAGTATTTACATCAAAATTGGACTTCAATATTCTTACATTATGTTGCTGGCAGAAGATGACGTGTTTTGTTCCTATCCAACATGCTCCTTAAAGTCCATAAATTAACAGCATGATGAGGAAGGATCAAATGAAGCTAGAATACAAGCCTATATTCAAAGAAACTTAACACAGAGGTTTTTAATACTGTGTCTAAAGTCAGCATAGAGTCGAGCGAGAATGGAGATTCAGAAAAACAGGCGATGATGCCGACGGCTATGTCACCGAATTTTAACTTTAGTCGAATAGACTTCTCGTTGAAGTGGAAGGTTAAAACTTTGTGACACTTTCTACGAGAGGCGACTTCTGAGTACTGACCTTTGGTAGAAAGTGCCTCCGGGTTGCAACATGCCAAACTTCGGATGCTAGAATAAGTTTTAGTGACAGCAACCACAGCAGAGTACTGCTTGAATCCGAGTTCCTTGCGTAACTCTTGAACATTCAAAAGACCAAATCCACGAAGGCTGGGAGGAGAGTGAATGCTAGAACCGATTTCGTACAGGGGGAGAGGTTAAAGAGCCTACAGGTTTTTTCAATCTATTACCTTATACAAAGTACTAGGATTTCACATAAGCCCAATCGAAGTTAATGATAAAAAGCCAGTCAGAATTCGGAAAGCATTTTGCAATTTTGAAAGTGCTAGGATCAAAAGAGCTAGGGTCTTTTGCTCCAACACTTAAAAGTGACCTATTGTCCCTGAAATAAAACCAGAAGTTTTGGGAAAAGAATGAGTATACAAAAATCGTGATTTAAAAATATATTAAATTTTTAGTTGTGTAGCGGATTGCTACACTAGTAAAGCCTGACCGACTCAGAAATCTCTATGGCAGATCCCTAAGTAAAGCCTGACTGACTTAGAAATCTCTATGGCAGATTCTCTACATCTAGCTAGACCGACTCAGAAATCTCCATGGCAGATTCTCAAACATCTAGCTACCGGCTCAGAAATTTCTATGGCAGATTCTCCAACATCTAGCTAGGAATCAGAAATCTCTATGGCAGATTCTCCAACCTCTAGCTAGAGAACAGCTAAGCTATAGCTCAGCTATAAAGAAAACAGACGTGTAGCACGGAGCGCGTTTATATCTGTGGCAGATTCTCCTACATCTAGCTAGACTCCCAGAACGGCAGATTCTCCAACGTCTAGCTAGACTCCCAGAACCAGGGAGATTCTCCTACATCTAGCTAGACTCCCAGAACCAGCTAAACCATAGCCCAGCTATAAAGGAAACAGACGAGTAGCACGGAGAATTCTCCAACATCTAGCTAGACTCCCAGAACAAGCTAAGCTATAGCCCGGCTCTAAGGAAAACAGACGTGTAGCCCGGAATACGTTTATTCGGTACGTATATTGGTCGCGAAGTGTGTCTTTGGCGCATAATTCGCATGAACATTAATAGCTAAATATTTCTGAGTAGTATTCTATAGCAGGATTTCTATTTGGTCATTGATGAAGTGTCCTTTGATTCTCACTTAGCGGATAATATTAGATATGTATGTTATGAATTCAGTTCAGTTCTTATCTCCCTTAATTCTATGAGGAGGCTAAACTTCTTCGATTTGGAACCGTTCTATTTTAAACAATGCTGACGACATTAGACATGTTTCCAACTTCTAATTGGAAATGTACCGTCAAAGTGATATGGTAAGGGAAATTGTGGAGAGTCATGTGGGTGTGAACAAAGAAATCACATGCGCATTCAGACAGACTCGAAGGTGCGACCACGCTACTTGTCGCCTAGGAGACAAGTGCAATCTTGAGCTCAGAGACTTCTTAACCAGCCATCAATTACTAGTTCCTGTATTGTTTAACAGACCCTTGATTGACTAAGCTCTGTGACAGACACATCTACACCAAACATGTTCCACGCCACACATCTGTTTCCAATATATCGTTGAGGTGAGATAGCTAGCCCATGGTGACGCTCCAAAGCAGGAGTTCATACCGAAGAGATTACTGAGCATATGCCAAGCCGCATTAGCTTATCTACCTTCTATAGATCCCAATTTTAATCATACGAATTACCAGAGAATCTCGAACCCAGAAGGGTCGGCCTGGTGGTCTAGGGGTATGATACTCGCTTAGGGTGCGAGTGGTCCCGGGTTCAAATCCCGGCCAGGCCCCGGTGTCGCGTGCCTCGCGAGGTCATTGTTTGGGGTGTGCGATAGACTTACCTCCACGTGGTGCA